GCAGAACAGATTTTTTTTATAAACTTAATTCACTATTTTGTTTATCTATTTTGACCCACATAAATTTAAGAAATGTATATTTTGGATAATTTTTACCTAGAAAAAAAATGTGCATTATCAAATATTTTTAACAAAAAGAAAGAAAAGCTGACCTTTTTTCCTTTGCAAAGGCCAATTATGTCCAACAAAGTGAAGAAAAAGGAGAAGAAATTATTACATGATTTACGCCACATTGGCCCACTAAGATCTACACCTTACTTTATTATCATTGAGTTTTTCTTTTTCTTTTTTTTTTTTTCTTAATAAGTGCTTAAAGTGTCCTAAGATTATTCTATAAATATGAATCAAATCAAGAAAATCTAATCATATAATTAAATTTTTTACATAGAATACAGCATTTTTTGTTTTTATAATTAATATGATCATAAGTATTCTCAAGTTTTATTTGATGATCTTAAAAGTGAATTTTTTTCTCTTCAGATTGTTACATTCAAAATTTTTTATAAGAATGCATCCCACAAAAATCAAATATCAATTGATGAGAAAAAATTTACTTCTTTACCACTTGAATTAATCCTTGTAGGTGATACCTATTTTTTTTTTTATTAATCTATTTTGGTGAACTAAATAATTATAATTGTGGTCAATCTCGTTTTCTTGTGACCTCTCACACTTTAAAATTTTTTTTATAGATATGATAATTTAAAATATGATACGATAATATAATATAAATATAATATAAAATTAATATATGAATGTGACACGACTTAAAATTTTAATACTAATTATATATGAATTTAATAAAATTATAAAAAATATATTTTATGTTTTCATATCAACACGAATTATAATATATAATTTCGTATAAAACACATTACGAATATATGAATTTTAATGCTTTACATGACATAAATATACAATTTTGAAAAAACTTGCTTGCATAAAAAGACAGAATCAAAAAGAAAAAAGAAAAGCAGAATCAAAATTTGATAGTCAATCACCAAATCTTGAATTTTTTTTCTGCTTTACTGGCCCTATGTTTCAATAGGAATTCAAAAACGAGATTGAATTTGAAACTTCAGGAATTCGATTGGGTAATTTCATCAACTAGCAGAAAATGTGTGGAAATATTAAATAATGAAATAAAACTTTTAGACATCATATTTTACTATCAACTATTTAATCAATGTAATAGGGACAAGTAAAATTTGTTATTAAATTCTCATCTAAAATTTTGTTTGATTGACGCTTTTTTATTTATTTTTCTTAAAAATATATATAAATAAATAAAAAGTATGTAAAAGAATAACAAATTTTTTTTTTGGATTATATGAAAACTACGTAATTTTTTTAGATGGAAAAATGTAAAATTCCAGTCCTATATAGTTGTGACTTGAGATATCGCTAACAAAAAAAAGTTAAAATATAAATTTGATTAATAATAACATGTCTTTCGAATAAGAAGCTTCAAATTTGATTCTCTTATCATTTTAATTGTAGTAGACAATGGTAAGATTTATAGAGTGTTATGCTTAATTATCTGGTCAATGATAAATTTGATCAAAGTTTATTTAATAAATTTTTATTCTTGAGTTATCCAGACAAGGTACATTGGATCGTTATGTCTGCTTCTAAAGAAATGACTCGCCTTTCACCAAAAGAAAAACTAGTTCAATATTTCAGTAACGTCTCATCAAAACGATTATTTCAAAATTGATAACTTAATTTTTAATTTATCTGAAACTATTAAATGTATTCATATTTATTTAAAATCATTAAATGTGACTCATAATTATTTACGTAATCTTTTATTAAACTCTACATACACATCCCATCAATTTACCAATTGCCTTAATCATACTAATGCCCATTATCTCATACATAAAGCAGTGAAAAAACCAGGCATGTAAGATTCTCCAAACTTCACACCTAAGCTTTTGCCTCTCTAAAGCTTCTCACACACACTTCACCTTCTTTCTTTCACTTTCATTACCCTTATTTCAGACATACCACTTATTTGAGCGTCGAAAAGCGTCCCAAAGCCACAACTCTGACGCCTCCTAATCTTATTCTTTAGCTGTACGTTTAAACTGTCTTCTCTTGAACCCTACCTCACTTCCTTCTAAGAGATCAAGAACACCATCAATAAAATTATGAAATTTTACAATTTAAAATAATTAAATCAAAATTCAAATTGAAAATCAAAATCAAGAGATTATTAAAACTCGTGGAATAAATCCAATATATCAAATTTTAAAAAATATATATGTTTATTATGTTATTTAAACCGATGGTGTTTTATTTCAATAATAAGATTATTTTTTTTACTGTTTATCAACTAAAAAAAATACATTTCAAGTAAAGGAATTGGATTCTAGAATTAAACGAGGCAATTGGATAGGTCATATTGAATTTGGATTTAGTCAATTTAAGTCATGTCATTTAGGTAAAAAAAAAATTCCAGTTTTGTTATTTTGATCATCTAGAATTTAGATTATTTTAAGTTTAAATTGTTGAGTTTTAAAATTAAATTTAATTTCAAATAATTTTAAATTAACTTTTTTAATTACTTAAATTTAAATAATTTTGAATTCAAATTAAATCAAATTTGAATTAAACGGATTTGAGTTACTTTTTTTAATCAAATCAAATTAGATTGAATTTAACTTTAAATGAGTTGAATAATTTTTTTGAGTTTAGGTCTATTTTGCTAACTTTTAAGTAAAATTATCAAATCTAACAATTATAAAAAAGGTTAATGTTATACATAATTCTTGAATTACAGTAAAATATTTAATATGATATTTAAATTTTTAAAATCTTTAATATAATATTAAATTATAAATTTATTAATTAATATGATATTCAATTTTAAAGTGATTAGCTTCAAATAATGATGTATAATATACAAATAATCTTTTAAATATTATATTAAAATTTTTTAAAATTTAAAAATTATATTATATGTTTTATTATAATTTAAAAATAATTCGTAACGTTAACTTAAAAAAATGTTAAATGGGGAGAGAAAGCCACAATGCCAGCCGGACAACTGAAAAGGTCTTGAAGCTGAGCATCAGTGGTATTGGATTCTCTCAAAGCTTACAAAACATAATCACGAATGGGGTTTTGACATAAAACGCATTGTTAGAAGATAATGAAATTTTGATCAAATCATGACTCATATATCGTTGTTGGAAAGTTTATTCTTTTGGAATAACTCAAATATCTATATTTACTATTGGGAAAATTGTCATCACTCCCACCATAAGAAATATGATAGCTTACTCTTTCTCTAATATCTTTTCTTTGTAATGGTTTAAATAGGGAAATTCTCTTCATCATAGTGTCATATAAAAATGAAACAGCTAAAATAATTCTTTATAAAAGGAGAAAAAAGCTTCCTCCAAAAAAGAAAACACTTTTTAAAATGTCAATTCTATATTTCAAATTTCAAATTCCCAAAAAACTAAGAATAATAGAATGAAGGAATTTTAATTAGAATTTGATTAGCTTTTTCCTAAGATTGAAAGGAAATATTAAAGTATTCTTTTTTATTCCTAGAGTTTGTAGGTGAAGTTATATTCACCTTTTAAACATGGAAGACAATGTCAAAAGATTTTTGTCAATAAAATGGAAAATGAACAATCATTTCAGTTGATGTACCTTTGGATTTGTAATCGAAAGTGTGAGCTGGTCTTTAGCTTTGGGTTAAAGATTCGATGCATGAATAAATGGGTGAATTAAAGATGGAAGATGGATGGCCATAACATCCATTGTTGAGTTTACAAAAAAAAAAAAAAGTTTAGATGATGTTAACCATTGCATTTTGAGAAAGAATACAGCAATTGATTGCTTTTAAATTAATTAAATAAAATATTATTAAAATTGAAGTTTAAAAATTATAAATTTAAAAAATTTTATACTTGTGCTTTTTTATCAATTAAATAAATATTAAAATAAAAATTTGAAGATAAATTAAAAATAATAGCAATGGTGATGAGGGGCAATGGGCATGCATGGGAAGCAAATCTTAAAAGGAAATCAAATCTCCTTTTTTTTTTCTTTGGCAATAGCAATTAGCAATTGCCACCACTACCCCACCTCACCCCACCTGCTGAAGATATGGTAAGCGCCACATGATTTCACGTTCGGGAAAAAAAATACTTTGCTGACATCACCTGTATCTCTTGACAGGATTTTGTTGGGTCCCACTTACCCCCCGATTCCTCTTAAGTCTCACCTCTTTCTTCTTTCTTTGCTTTTGCTTTCATCCTAAACTTTTTTTTTTCAATTTTCTTTTCTTATACTGATAGTAGCATAAAATTAAATATTTTTCACTTAAGCTTTCATTTTACCAGCGGTTGCCCATATCGCTGACCTTGCTCTTTATATTATATATATATATGAGTATATATATATAAATTGTAAAATACAAGAATAGTCATTCTATTTTAAATGACTTTTTATTTTAATAATTCAACTATAAAATTTAATATTTGAATCATTAATATTTAAATAAATATTTTTTATCATTTAATTATCAATATTTTTTAAATAAAAAAATGAAATACTAATGAAATATACTCTCATAATATTATTTTTTATTGTTTATTATGAAATTCAAAGAAAACGTTTTCACTTTAATTCATATAATATTAAATTTAATTTTTTAATAAAATTTTAATAATAAAAAATTAAAAATATGAAAAATAAACTTTAAAATATAAAAATAAAACATTTAAGAATTAAAAAATTAAAATTTTAAAATATAAACAAATAAAATTGGACTAAAAAAATATCATGTCTTATAATAATAAAAATGCCTATTCATGATATTAAAAAATAAAAACATTAATAGTTAAAATGTTAAATTTTATAATTGAATAATCAAAATAATAATTAAAAAAAAAAACTCAAACTTGCGTGACGTTTGGTGTTTTTTACTATAAATTAAGACCACCTTCTTTAAAATCCCCATCTAGATTTGTTACATTATTTTATTCATTTATTAATTGTCATTCTGTTTTTTTTTTCCCTCCATTGCTTTCTCTGTAATTCAGAATCAATCAGCTTGGAAAATTTGAAAGATTTGGGACGAAATCTGGTCGGATCTTGCATTGCGGGTGTGGATTTTGATGGGTCTTATTTCAACACAAATTCTTTCTCTTTTTCACCTCCTCCCATAGAACCAGAACAACTGAAAAAGAAAATTACCCAACCCCATCCTCAGGAAAAAAAGAACAAAGAACTTTCTCAATCTCAACTCGATTTCATTTCTCTCGAAACATATTCTATCTCTGGTTTTAGGGATTGGATCTTGAAATTGAAAAATAGGCATGGCAGCAGAGTCACAGTTTCATGTTCTGGCAGTTGATGACAGCCTCATAGACAGAAAGCTTATTGAGAGGCTACTTAAAACCTCTTCATGTCAAGGTACTTGGGGAAATTTTCATTCATAAATCATGGGTTTCCTTGCTTTTTTTTCTTAATTTTAGTTCTGCTTTTGTTAAATTCTGATTGTCGTTTATCATTTTGATTCCATTGGCAGTTACTACAGTCGATTCTGGCAGTAAAGCTTTAGAATTTCTGGGTTTATATGAAGCAGACACAACCAACCCAAACACAGCCTCTACTTTTCCTAACAATCATCAGGTTGGGAATTTCTGTTTAATATCTAAGATAACCCAACTTGTTTTATGCTTTCTTTTCTATAACTCCCCCCCCCCCCCCTCCTTTTTTTTGCTCTGTTTGTAAAATTTTTCTGCTTGTTTTTGTGGTGCGTACAGGAAGTTGAAGTGAATCTTGTCATTACAGATTACTGTATGCCAGGCATGACGGGCTATGATTTGCTCAAGAAAATCAAGGTATGCTTTGTTTCTATTCTTTGTCTCTTTTCTCTTTCATTCCCTTGTTCCTGTCCTTATTCTTTAACCCTTCAGATCATTTCCTTTTCGAGCCAGGAAATTTTAGGATTTTCTTTTTCTAAAAAATCAATTCTAGATTTAAGATTTTGCATTGCCAAATTATTACTATACTATATTGTAATCGAAGGAGTTTCCAATATGGGGTTCTATTGTTGCTGCGTGCTTGAGAATAACAATGAAAAATCTTTTGGAATATTTTGCCTCTTGTTTTCCACCAAAGGCAAAATCAGTTCCAACATATTCAATGGAAACATGATTTCATAATTTGCCATTACACTTTCTTTGATTTATATTGTAATCTTATCGTCTATGGAGAAAGTTGTCCAAAACTGTTACTCTCCCTTGTAAAATATGGATCTGAGAAGCTTACAGGATTTTTTTTTTCTTCTATGATTTTGCAGGAATCTTCATCTCTAAAAAACATACCAGTAGTTATCATGTCATCCGAGAATGTCCCTTCAAGGATTAGTAGGTAAAAAGACAAAATCAAATAATAGAACTATTTGAAAATGCTTTAATAGCAAAGAAGAGGATACTGGGGAATTTGATTTTTGAGGTGAAACACATTAGTTGGTATAATTTTTTTTTTCAGATGTTTAGAAGAAGGTGCAGAAGAGTTTTTCTTGAAGCCAGTCAGGTTATCTGATTTGAATAAACTTAGGCCCCATATGTTGAAAACCAAAATCAAGGATCAAAACAAAAAACAAGGGAAGCAAGAAGAGAAAGCATCCTTTCAATCACCGAAAGAACAAGAACAAGAAGAAGAGCACCAGCAGCAATTATTGCAACAAAAACAACAACAACAACAATCCAGCAATAACAAGAGAAAAGCCATAGAGGAAGGGCTCTCACCTGAGAGAACAAGACTAAGATACAATGGCATCACAACTGTGGTTTAATTATGTTGGGGAAAGTATCTCAAAAAAAAAAAAAAATGATGTTGGGGAAAAAATGTTAATAGTTTCTTTTTTTTCTTTTAAATGTAATTCATGTACTTCCCTTTTTTTTTTGGATTTTTTTATAATTTTACTGTTGTCATACAGGCTATAGGAGTGTAGAAATAGAGTTCTATCATGTATACATCTTAGATGAAAAAGAAAAGTTGAAAATTCCAAACTTCTTGTGCTAATTGGATTCCCTAAACAAGGAAAAAAATCGTGTAAAATAACAGTTTATGATTGAAATTATCTGAAGATCAAACATTGGGCATTTCTTTTTTATACTGGTGCTGCAAGTTTAAGGTCAGTCTTTGGATTGGTGCTGCAACTGAATGGGGAAAAATAGTCTACGAGCACAATTTCTTATGACTGACTGTTTTCTTTTCCTTTATTATTATTATTATTATTATTATTTTGCACCATCAGTTGAGAAATAATTAAATGGCAAACTAATCTCACTAAAGTTTTTCTCAACGAGTTCCATAGATACAGTGAAGAGTAAAATTTCATAGAAGAATATTAAAGAGAAGAAATTGAAAGAGAAACTAACAAAAACATAATATACAATATACAAGAGTGGGCCTTGCCTGGTTCGATCACTGCCAAGGAAACCACCTTCTGTCAAATGTGTGGCAAGACTCCAGTTAAGGAATTAGACCATGTATTATACTTCGAACAAATTGTTCTTGTAGCAAAGGTTCCAATCTGAATCCTCTGAACGCGCCAAGCCACCTCCATCAGTGCTAATTGACTCTGCACATGAACATTGTACTGGAGAATGAAGCTTTTCTTTGCTTTCACCATCTAAAAATTCCGTAGACCCACAAGCATTAGTTAAAGTTGGAATATTCCCTAAATCAACATTGATCTCAAGACTTTGGCAGGATTTGCATGGATCACTGCTATTGACGTTTAAGTCTTCCTCTTCATCTGATAGGCATCTGCAACCATCAAACTCATCCATCTCAAAAATCCGACTTACTAATCCTTCCCTCCAGGATATTCTCATATGTGATTGTGACACATTCTCAAATGCAGAATTTGATGTCCACAAAGATTGATCATCCAAAATCTTCTGAAACTGAGAAAGATCCATGGAATTGGAAGGTGTTGTTAAACGATCAAACTGAAAACTAGAACCATTCGTGTCCCATATTGATACATGGCTCTCAGGAGACAAGCTTGCCATCCGAAGATCTCCGGCCACTGACAGTCGCTCGGAATGAAGGTGATGTCTCTTGTGATCCCTTGCACTTGAACATGACAGCCCAATATGCCTTTCCAGGCTTGAGTCAGAACTTGGGGTTTGCATAACATTTTCACTCCCTAATGTATCCGCAGAGAATGGAGAGTTTCCTCCAATATTGTATGAGTGCTTTGCCCCTTCTTTCAACGGAACAGCTCTGGAATAAGGTGTGGCATTTGGAGAAGATGAAACAGGAGCATCGTCACATAAAGAATCCAAACGTACTTGAAACTGAGGGACTTCAGTGGAAATAAGCATATTATTTATGCTCTTTTGGCTCTTCTCAGTGCTGCTATTAGTTGCATCGCTTGTGTTATTGCTTAAGTTACACCAATCCAAAGAAAGGCCAAGATCAGATAATGGTGAGGAAGGAGAAGGAAGTGTTTTATGTTCAAGCAAGCTGTGGAAAGGAGCAGAATTTTCCTTGTCATCCTCGTTGTCCTCGTGACATGGAGACAAAAGCCAATGCATTGAAGCCTCAGCAGGTAAAGGGGGCATGGAAACACTACAGTTCTTATCAAGTCCAGTAGCATAATCTTCACAGTCAACATTGTTATAGTTATTGATTGATATATTATTATCACCTGTTCCTGGTAGAGCTACAGCCAGTACACCTCTAGCCTTACATTTTCTCCTGTCAGTAACCCTAGAAATGAGATGACCAGCACCATAACAGGCAGGAGTGGTTGCTGTGATTGTGGTGGATTGGATCTCTGGAGAAAATGAAGCCTGAATGGGTGGGGTTTTAGTGTTGCTAGAGCTAGTGTTCGATTTGTCATCATCCATAAGCCTATTCTTATGATTTCCAATACCAGCAACTAGACAATCCAAAGTGGAACAAGTTGCAATCTTACTCACAGCCATAGGAGTGAACTGGAGCTCCTCGGACACATCAGGCAGCTTCAACAAGTCTTGAGACATAGAAAGTGACTCAGTTACAGGAGCGCCAATATTGGAATCCAAAAAAGCAGGAGTTTCTGAAGTTGATTTTTTGGAGGATTGGACTTTCTTAACTTGGTATAGTTTGTGGGAAATGGATTTGGACGAAGAATTTTTCTTAACAAAATGGAAGCATTTGGAGTGAGGGAGGCGTGAAATGGGGGCAGATTTGGGGCTTTTGGAGATGAAATGGGCTGTTCTGGTTGTGGGACAGTAGCGATTCAAATGCGTTTTAGAAGGAGAGAGCAAGAACCTGAGACAACACCTTGGTGCTTCAATGGAACCAGAAGAAGAGAACGAAAGATGGTTGTTGCTGCCAGTGATGGTGTTTTTGACAAGTTGGGATGATCTTCTAGACCCCTGCTATAAGAAAGGTACTATAAGAAAGGCACCATATATTCATAATTTTCAAGAAGCCATTTCCAGTATTTCATTTTTTTAGTATTATCTTTTTTTTTTTCTTTTCATAGTTAATTTTTGGTAGAGGGGATCTATTCCATAACAGGGAGGCCTAACTCAAGGTAAATACTTATTGTAATAATTAGCACTTACGCGACACTCCTGTGAATGGATATCAGACAACTGAGAAGGATCTTCTTCTTGTTTCTCAATTGACTGCTGCTCAGATGTAGAAGCATGATCTTCCTCATAGTGACCTTTCGCATCATGGCCCTTCTTCCCTCTTGCATGAGCAGGTTTTGACTAAGAATGAGAGAATACAAATACAGATGAATGGTCTAGTCTAGTTTAATGAATCAATTAAAAATTGAAATTAGCCAACATAATAATTTTTTTTTCCATGAAACCAAGATTTCAACTGAAATTAATGAAATATGCAATATATAGGACACAAATTCAAAATAATAATAATAATGATTAGATTTCTTTTTGGCATTCTGTGTATGTTGTGAGGGACTGTATGCTCTACTAAATGCTCACTTATTTACTATTAAATTTTGGTTCTGTTGGTAAACATGACATAAGTTTCACACTAGAAACTACATGGTGATATGAAATGTTAAACAGTTCAATAAATAAACAGACTACCATCTACTCAATTATCTTTTGGAATCAAACAAATATTTTTATCCTTTTTTTTTTTTACTGAATTTATAATTCACAACATGGAAAGAGAAGAGAGGGAGCAAAGAGCAGGAGAAGTAACTGAAGCAAAAAGCCAGAATATTAGCACTACATACCACACGTCCAAGCATTAGGCGAACCCTAATGCCAATCCTCCAATTTCCCTCATCATTTAGTTCTGCTACCTGCAAAATAAGACATTTATCCATCCATTTACAACCATGGAAGGTAAAAAGGATCATCCTATGGAAAATGGGAGTACTTACTGCTTTCTCAGCCAGCTCAACAGATTCATATTCCACAAACGCATGCAACTACAAATAGAGTAAGAGTCCAAAATTAAATCACCCAACTCAATATTTAATACTTGTTAACCGGGAAAAAAATCAAGAGAATGTTATATATTTCCAAAGAATTTGACCCAAAAAAAAAAAAGGGAAAGAAGATATCTTTCCATAGGAAATAAACAAAATATCTAGCACATGCATGATGAGCAGATGTACCTTGTTACTTAAATGCATGCAATCACTTTTTTCTGATCTAGATGCTGAAGATACCACACCACCAGAGGGTTGAGGATGACAGATACAGATTGTCTTCACACTGTGAATGAAAACATCAAGAGAGTTTGGTCCACAGAGACATGATAAACAAGGTTTAAACCACAAATCAAGAGACTTTATAATTTCGTTAATACAGTAATAGTTTTGGTACCTCCCAACAGCAGAGAAAATCTTCATTAGATTTTGATGGCAATGATCCTTGGGCAAATTTTCAGCAACAATTATACGAGACTACAAATCACAAGTGTTTGGAAGTGCTATGTAAGACATTAGCATACTTGATTTGATTGAATATAATATAATGTAAGACGAAATACAAATCTCTCATGCAATATTCAATGAGACTGCCTGACTACAAAGACAAACATGACATTTACAGAAAAGACATGTAAAAATCTTGCATAAGAAGAAGTAAAATAAAAATAAAATAAAAAAAAGCAAAAAGAACAAAAACCTTACTTGCAACTCTTCCCTATCTGATTCAGTTAGAGGATGCCGGCGTCTTACTTTCTTTCCATTTTTGCTAACCACCTATGCATTATGGAATCAAAAAGATACAAGCACAGCCGTTAAAGAGATATGAAGCAACAAGATGTGGAAATAAAACATTAAGAAGCAAAAGTAAGTGCATGAAACAATTGTACAAGGACAATACTCACAAGCTTCAATGACTTCCGCAAAACTCTAGCTAGCTGGGAATGAGTAGTTATGAGGGCTTTAATCTTCTTAAAAGATGCAACAACAGATATTGGCACTATATGGGAAGCAAAGAAAATATTAGTCTGAATGCAGAATTGTTAATATTAAAACAAGTTCAAAATCTTCAATGTTAGAACAAGTCAACAATCTTTTAGATTAGGTGAACTCATATCAGTAAATTAAGAAAGAAAATTGAAGAGGTGAAAGTGAAGCACTTAAAAAATGGTAATGAACAACTAGATTATATAATAGCAATGTTAATCATCAGTATAGTATAAACAAGACTAACGTGCATGAACACTTTAAATGATAGGAATTTGCATAAACTAGAGTTTCAGTCTAAAACTTTTTGCTCCCAAATGGAAAGAAATCATACCATATCCTTCAGGATCCTTGCTGATGAACCTCATAAGATGATCGGTGGTGGCCAAGTTCAAATCACTAAAATAATACTCAACCTGCGAAATAGATTGTTGGTTTAACATTAAGGAAAAACTATAGAGGAACAAGACAGAGGAAAAGGCCATGTTCAGAAAATTGGTAATAGCCATGGTTAAAATTAATCCAGAATTTTATCATTTCAAATTACATGTATCCGCCAATGATTAGTTAATCTCATAATCAGATTCTCGTAATCAAAGGAACAAAAAGTAGTAACACTTAAAATTTGCAAAAAGCAGCAACGGGAACATTGATTCAGTGATAGTAGTGATGAATGGTGAGCTCTGACCTGATTCAAAATCTTTAACGCAGCTTCTTCGAATAGTCCATTTTTGGAGGAAGTAGCACCATGATCCTTGTGCTCCTTCTGTTGCTGATCCATCTTCGTAACAGCCTCAACTTCTTGCTCTCGATTGTGATGATGATCCGGCATGGGCATACGATGGTGGACGGGAACCATGTGAGGCGGCATAGGCACGGGGCGATGGACGGGGAGGTTAAACTCCGACGGAGACGGAGGCGCAGGAGGAGGAGAGTAGAACTGAACCATCCGAGGGGGAGGAGGAGGAATCAGCGTCCTGTGACTCCGCTGCTGCTGTTGTTTTTGTTGTTGTTGTTGTTGCTGCTGCTGCTGCTACGGCTGAGGCGTAAAGCGAGCAGGCACAAATTCGGGCGCCCTCTTGCTGGGCCGACTGGATGACAAGTTCCGCGACAGTTGTGGATCTGAAGAAGAGGAAGATTGACGAGAATCTAGGGTTTCCGACAAAGGCAATTATTTGGGGATATACAGAATTTGAAGTTTATTTTTTTAATATCATTATTATTCAAGCTTAGGAAATGACACCAGTAAGTTGTAAGTAGTACTGAAAAATTTAAATTGGGGAGGTAGATAGAGCGGTGGGATTGTGATTAATACACGTCCTAAAAGCCAATGGCAGGAGGGGGTGAGAAAAAATTTTAAAAATTAAAAATTAATTTAAATTATGGTGTTTGGTTTAATATAAATTAAAATTTTTTATTTGATTTGAATTAAATTTGAATATTAAATGTATATATTAAATTTGAATTAAATTTTAAATTAAGATGTAAAAAATTGAATTGCATTATATATTTTTATTAATTTTTATATATTTTTTAATTTTTTATAAATCTATTTAAATATATTAAAATTCATATTAAAATAATATATAAAAAATAAAATTTAAAAATCAATTAATCAAATTAAACTGAAACAATAGAATTTGATTTAAATTAAATCAATTTTAAAAAAAAGTTAATTCAAATTTAATTTGAATTTTTAAAATTTATCATATTATATATTACTTTAAAAAATTAAACCGAATCCAATTTAATTTAAATTATTATCATTTTAATGACATCGACACATTTGATATTATCATTAATGATAATATCTTATCACTTTTATTTTGATACAAATTAAATGATCAGGTTCACTTAATCTTAGCTTAAAGTTTTCGAAACATGAATCTTGATATAGATTGGATTAGAAGTGTTGATGATTATTTTGATACAAATTAAATGATCAGGTTCACTTAATCTTAGCTTAAAGTTTTCGAAACATGAATCTTGATATAGATTGGAATTAGAAGTGTTAATGATTCTAAAAATACTTCCGGTCATGTTTTTTCATTTAAAACCCTCACTTTCTCAAAATTTTTTGACCGAATGATATCTAATTTATATTTGTTTCACGAAGATATATGGATTATGGAAATTTTTAATGTTTTATAGTAAGGAAATGGAAGTGGGGATATATCAGCAATAGGAATTTTGGGGTTTCTTCTAGATTTTTGGTAGATTGCACCTCGGTTACTTTTTCTAGTCGAAATGCCCAAGAATTCCAGAAGATGAATGAAATGAGATCTATGTAATTCATTTCTTTTACATGGGCTTGCCATTTGTATTTGGTTTCCAATTATCTTAATCCTGTTATTGTAAGTTAGAACATCTTATGTTTCTCTTAATGAAGACTTGCTTGTTGAGATAATATTGCTATTATTGTTGTTGCTATTGTTGTGTGTGCATGCAGACATTTGAATAAACGTTTAAGCCAATTTACGAAACAGTCTCTGTGACAACAATCTTAGATTACGTTCCAAGTTCCTGATGATACTTTTCATCAATTTAATAGACTAGTAATTAGATTTTATTTTGGTTTTTGACAGATTTGTTGATGAACTATGATAATAATTTTTCCTAAGCTGTTCATTTGTAAAATAATGGAGTTCATCCGTTCATGGATGACCTATATTTATTATGGAACATATACACTGTAAACCTGCCCTGTTTCACAACACCCATTGCCCAAAATAAATAAATAAATAAATAAAGGTTGCAAGTGCTTTCATCCTACTTTCTGTCTTCAGTTCAACAACAAAAAGACAATAATGTTTTAGCTTCTTCAATGTTTTTCCCTGAGTTTAATGGTTCTCTTGCACATGTGCTGCTCAAATATGCAAGTTAACAGTTTTGATGAACCTGATTTGGTGCAAAGGCTACGTGAGCAAAACTGAAACCTCAAGTTGCCTTTGCTGTATTTGATCCTCACAGTGTGGTAAATATATATATACATATATATATATATATATGCTTACATCACAGATACGCTCTCCTATCATGAGTTTGGATTATCTAATTATGGAAGAAACTCGTAAGAAGAGAACCCAAAACTTTGGGAGTAATATTATGGACTCGTACACAATCAAGCAACTCAAGTGTTCAAACTCAGAACAAAAATGAGCCACATGGTCCCTCTCAAACCATTATTGTCAAAATCTATCATCCATGATTCATCTCCCATGGCATAATCTTCAATGTTTTTTTTCAGACAACACTAGCACCCGCTTTGCATTTGTTTTTCTCCTGCCCATCAACAGAATCCATGGGAGGAGGAGCCACACTTGCATGTTTCATCGCTTTTGAATCCACCTTCTTTTTAATAGCATCCCAAAAGGCAGGAATTGCTACATCGTCAGGAATTTCTTTGAATGATGGCAGGTAGTTTACATCCACAATGACATGATCACCGGAACCTTCCTGAATCTGAAAATTTTCACAGCAAACCAAAATAATCCAATTAACATGTACACATTATGATGGCTAACAAACGACCTACAGAAACATGTGTGCTAAAGGTTATGTTACACCATCTCTTGCTTCTCTTTGGGCCCAGTCAGAGCTTCATTCCACAAATGCTTTTTTTTTTTTTTTTTTGCAACGCTAGTTTCACCAAATTCCCCTGAATACCTCATTTCAACAGTTTCAAAAATCATTCTCCATTACCAAGTAAAAGTGCCAATGTTGTCCCCCATCAGTCATTCACCCCACCTTCCTCCCCCAGTTCCCCTCCCCAAGTCGATTGCAAATATTGGGCACAAGGAATCAAAGTTAAGTATCTAAAAGTAATTGCAATTATTGCAGGTGACTAAGGATTTAGTGGTGTCCAAACAGAGATTAAATGGTAGACTAAAACATCCCTTTTCATTTTTAATTCTAATTATAGAACAAAAGTTTTATTTTTACATATTTTACACAAGTATAGGTTTCTGCAGTTAAACATCATCACTATAACTTAGAATTCAGTAAAAACAGAGTTTTAATAAGAATATAATGGTTTTCACTTCAGAAATATGCAGTCAAAGTTTTTGTAAGCTACTCACAACAACGTCAAAGCCAAAGATGGTTAGTCCAAGAATCCTTGTAAGCCACTTGGCAGCCTCGTTTACTAGCCCAAGATCAAGACACAGATCCTGACCTCCAGAATGCTTGTTTGCAATGGCAGTAGGTAGAGATTTTAAGCTGTGTGAATATGCAACCACAACAAAATTTTAAAGAATAATGAAACAAAAACCACATTACAAGGGAAAAAGGGAGAAAGGAAACAGAGTGTACCTATCAAAGAGAAGAGGTCCAGGTGCACTTTTTTTGGATGATTTTATAAGAATGTCAGCATTAGGTGTAGACTTCTTTACCGCATGGAAAACTCTCTCACCCAGAACATAAAACTTGAACAGAGTGGATGAATGATCAACATATTCCTGCAATCCAAGTCATTTCCTATTTTAGAGCCAAGATTTCCAACAAGAAATAGATTGTCACATTTACTGATTATAGAAACAAGCTTTGATATAGCACCATATTGTTTAAGGTCTCCCATGGATCATGAATGAGAAATTAGTAACTTAACCCTTTTCTTTTTTTTTTTTGGAAAAGCAAGTTAGTACCTTAAACAGAAATTGGCTTTACGAAGTAATATAAGATGAGCACACACACACAAAAAAAAAGAGCATAGTCCAATAAGCACAAAAAGACACCAGCACAAAAAATGAAAGGAAACTAGAATTAAAACTGGAATTATGAATCTTGTTTTTTATACTTCAAGCAGAGAGATTTAATAATATAAAACATATAGCTATCATTTCCTTCATATGAACAACTTTGAAATATTATTGGATGCTAACCTGAACAACAGCAGGCAGTGGAACATTCAAATCCTTGAAGTCTTCAACTCTAAACACAATTGCCTGTTAATGACAAGATTTAGCTTTTCTGATGAAGAAAATTTTGGTAAAAGAAAAGTTGATGGAAGACATGACAACTATGGTTTGTTTACATTGAATCACAATGTCCAAAATAAGAGTCACAATCATTTTACAAATGCTGACAAAAAAAGTTAGTACTTGACCAATAATTTTGTTTCCTCTGCATATGGAATGATATTAGACAAATTAAGCATCTCCTTATAGTAATATTTTATCAGCAACAATGTAAGTCTACAACACAAACTACTAATCATTCATTCAAAAAAAGATAATTTAGCATGTTTTAGACATAATATCACCTAAGTTGGGTTATAGGAGTTAATAAAGTGGAAAAATCTTAGGGCTTTTAGTTTTAGAAAATGTTTACTATTTCCCAATTCCACTTACACAATAAATATGATCAAAATGATAAAGCAAACAACTCCAAATGTAGTTAAAAAATGAGGAAAACATTTGTAATAATTTTCCAATTCTACACAAAATGGGAAAAAAAGGGTTTCCAAATTTGGTTATCATCCTTCATTGATTATCTATGATGTAAAATGGAGATGGAGAAATGGAAAACTAAACGGTTGCTTAAAATTTTAACCAAATAAACAAAAAATTCATTTTACAAAGCATATTGAAGATATGGTTTTAAATAAACACAGTGCGATAATCTGAACCATGCTGCCAACCTCTTTTTGCAAGAAAAGATTTTGTAATGAAATAATTGCCTATGTAATCTGTATTCTAAAGACTTAGCATCTAGTCTTTCTCCCTAATATGTTCCTTTCAACATCTCGAGTAGCAGTAATATACAGATAAAGACATATACCAGCAATGCTTCCTAATTGCTTTAGAACAAAGACAACCTTCTTCATCATCAGGATCTTATATCTATATTTCCAATTTAGAGAAGACAACACTAAGATCGGAAAGGGGAAATAAAGAGAGAAATAGAGTACGGCTTCACCAAACAGATAACGCTTTATACTGACATGAAATGGTAAATCAGAAACTATCTTATTTGGAAAAGGATACTTTAATTAAAGCAACAAGAACTCAAGGATAACAAATGCAAGAGAAAATAATTTATGAAAATCTAGGTTCCTCTTATGAGTTTTCTCCTCAATAACATAATCCAATCTCATTGTACCAGAAGGGATGTGTAATTTAAGCATATATTTACCATACTGTGAGCATCAGCTACACCACAGGCAACTTGAGGTTTCACTATACATGGAACAGACAGTTTTGCATCATGTAGTCTTTGTACCAAATCAGGTTCATCAAAACTGCTAACCTGTATATTTAAGCAGCACATATGCAAGAAAGCCATTAAACTCAGGAGAAAACATTGAAAAAGCTAAAACATTTTTTTAATTGTTCTTGAACTAAATACAGAAGGTGGGGTGAAAGCACTTGCAACCTCCATTATTTTGTAAATGAAAAGGATAGAGAAAATATAATAATTCAGCAACAAAGTGGTCATAAATCAGATTAACAGCCTATTAAATTGATAAAAATTCTCATGAGGACAAACAAGTCTTCATTATGGAAAACATAAATGCTCTAACTTATAATAACTGCCCCAAGACAATCGAAACAAACCCAAATACAAAAGCACCCAACTCAAGGCAAGCCTATGTAAAAAGTGAATTACATAGATCTCATTTCATTCAAAGCCTGAACAAAATATTGAAACAATGTATCTTCTGGAACTCTTGGGCATTTTGACTAGAAAAAGTAACCAAGTTGCATCCACCAAAATCAATAAGAAGCCCCCAAATACCTATAACTTATATACCCCAATTCAATTTCCTTATTATAAAACATTCTGGCATGTTAAACTATGAAAAACCTCCAGTAAGGAAGTACCTGTTAGAGGCTCCTATTATGGCAAACTTCATCAAGCAAATAACTGAAAATACCTACCAATGTCTGACATAGATTCTTCATAATCTGTAGCATATACATTTCAATCATAGAACTAACATTTTCTGCAAATTAACAATTTAGAAAAGGTTCTGTAAATTAAAATAGTTTTCCACATCCTAGTGAAACAAGCATATAATAGATACCATTCAGGCAAATGACCTTGAGAAAGTGAGGGGCCCTGACTGTGCAACGACCTTCTGCATTAAGATCCTTCAGCCCAAGTAAAATTTGTTGGATCTTTAACCGATCAAGTACAGGGTAAATGCTATTAAGTGGATCAACTTCAAAGCAATGATTGTGGTTTTCAATATACCTGTACAAGCATCAGCACTAGTTAGAAAGCAGCTCCATGAGTATCACATCAAACTAAATCATGGACTACAAAATAAATTAAATTTTTTTCTAAGATAAATACACAAGCTTAAGATTATGGTACTGCTCTTAGCCACCATAAATACTGCGTAGTCAGATATGACTGTCAAAAGATAAGAAAGCCTAGAAGCTTTATATTTTATACTGTCTTGCGTAAGTGCATGGATGTGAACAATTACCTTTGTAGTTCCTGCATTCCTGTTGTGTAAGCAATTCTATTGGAAGGTTCTGAAGAGCTGTTCAATTCAATGGATACAATTTCATCAGTTGCTTTATGAAGAATCACATCAGCCTCTTCTAACTGTGTTGATATAGGAAGCTCAAATGTCAGGGGCAAAAAAATCAACCCATTCAGAGTTGGACACATTGGAAAGGCACCCCTCTACAAAATTCATGTCAAAACATGAGCTTTGGTTAGTCCATATAAATCATAACAGGAAGTACAGAAAAATTATAACTTGTTAAGTCCGTTTCTAGCAAAGTTGAAAGGAGAGAAAAAATCATAATAAGTTAATACTTATTTTTAGTACAATTGTCTTTTCTGAAGAAAACTAAATAATTTCATTTGTTATCAAATGGCTGACCTTGGCAAAATCTTCCTCACGAGAAGGCTTCATAATGTAACCAACTGTCACAACATCGGTGCTTATTGCCTGAGAAAAAAGTGAAAGAAGTCATGAAAGGTTGTTGTCTTTTGAGTAATCTAAAGTTGGCTTAAAAGTACATTTATTTTGAGGCAAATCGTTACTCTAATTTGTGATTCTTTGAGGGAGACACCTATGTTTATCATCATTTATATTACTCAAGGTTTATATGTTCTTCATAATTGTCCCTGTGACCTTTGAAGTTTTAAGGTACTTGATGAATACAATGATCCAAGTATATTGCAGTGCATTAAGGTTTTGCAAACGCATACAAGAGGAGATGTATAGAAAAGAGTGATCATAGTTGACCTTTTTATTTAAGCGGCAAATGGTCAAAGGTAGTTCTTGCAATTTGTCCATATAAATCCTGTTTGACTTGTGGAGTGAACTGGTAACTTCAGCATCTGAGGAAAGGAAGCAATTATGACCCAAAAAAAGCATGAATTTGGGTCAAGCAGGAGGATCCTCCCTCTTCAATGTGAGAGACATTGATAAACTCTAGTAGGTGTCTAGAAAAGTTAGTGTATACGTATTTCCATAGGAAAAGCTGAGGTAACTTCCTTGATGATTGTAACTTAACAAGGAACGAAAAATATTAAACAGTGCTCACCGGGAGCAATTGAGAAGAATGCGCAAGTTATTTTGGGAGATGAATCATGGTTAGGAAGGAGATACAAGATGGTGCCTGAGATATGAGCCCAAGCATGGGCAATCTCATGTGGAGCAATGTCCAGGGAAGATGCAGTCAAAGGAAGGCATTCAAAAGAGTGTAGCTCAGCCATTGCCTGCAGGAGATTGATCTATGAAAAGAAAACAAAAAAATACATAAATATATATGTGTTGTATAATTCAGCCCATGCAAATGTTATTTATGGCATTGATGATGATGCGGAGGATGAAGTGATCATTCATCACAGTATGAAAAAAAATTAGTACTATTAACAATGGACAATCAGAAATCATAATGAAGAAAAACATGAAATTAAGATGCGGATAAAAAAGGAAAAAAAAAAAGAAGCAATATCATCATGTTTTTTCTCACTTACTTGCTCTGTAGAAAGAGGCAACCTGTACGAAATGGCCTGCAGTTCAAGAGGAGAGTAATGGGGAATGGGATAAAATTAAAACAAATAAGAAAAGGATAGAATAAATTAAATATCTATTTATTTATTTATTTATACCGTATGGATGTTGGAGAATCGAAGCTTGCGGAGCAGGGACAGTGTTGGGTTGCTCTTGCAGTTCTCCGGATGTCCAATTCCATATTGAAGCAGCACATGGTCCAATATAACTCCCCTCACAGCTAAACCCATTAGCAGTAAAATTAAAATAAAATAATTACTTCTCACAAAGAATATGGTTTTGCCACCGTTAGTGTTGCTTGTAAAGTTGTTGTTGCCCTTGCCCTACTACTGTCTTCTTCTTCTTCTTCTTCTACTTGTTTTCTTCTTCTTCTTCTTCTTTAACTTGTTTTGTCTAGCCCAATGTCCAAACCAAAACCAAATCTCTTCTTATATCATCTATTCACACTTGTTGATGTTGGAATCTGAATGTCTGATTAGGGGTGAAAAAAATTTAATAACCAACTTAAGTGATCTCATTTAAAATAATAATTGAAACTGACCTTAAGTAAATAACTGACAGTAACCAAAACCAACTTAGCTCGGTCAGTTCAGTCAGTTTCAATTGGTTTTACTAATTTTTTTCAACTAATTTCCAACAGTGGTTTTCAACAATTCCCACCCAATCTAACTTAAATACATCAAGATAAATTCAATTTTTAATCAAATTCATCTCCACATTTTTAATCAAAGATAAATTCAACTTAAATACATCAAGCAACAAACAAAACCAAAATAACATTTGGCATTTCCATTAGAGCTAATAATACCATACAGCCATACCATATAATAACCATAATGAATTAAAAATTTTAAAAGTTTAGACAAGGTAGAAAGCCAATTTTCATGATGCAGCTTCTAGACAACAAAAAAAATGTCCATGTACCTTTATAATCGGTTAAAAAGATTAGACATGCAAATCATCCATGCTTTAATTTATCAAATTCTAACAATTAAATAATTTGGTTGAGACTTTCATTCTACCATGACAATTGAATAATTAAATTGAAGCAAATTATATTTTGGTCAAGACCTACTGCTAGTCCTTCTGGTGGTTGACAGGTTGGTGCCTGGTGCGGCACTGATGAAAGAGGTCAGGCTCAAGCTCTCAACCACAAGGCAGGGTTGTCATTGGGTCAGGCTCACACCCAAAAGGTAGCGTTGTCGTTGGTGGTGGATTGACTGGCTGATGGACAATGGTGGTAATCTTGGAGATGAGAAGAGAATAAATGCAAAGAGGCAGTAGGCAGAAGAAGAACACCTGAGAGAAGATGAGTGATCAGTCTCTACACAAGACCCAGCAGGATATCCAGAACACAGACAAGGGGCCTTAAGGCCCCGGAAAGCGAGAGGGGAGAGTAGGCAGAGATAGGATTGGGAGAAAGGGGCAGTAGCCAAGAGGAAAAGAGGGTAGACAGTAGGCAGATAGGTGAGAACATCAGGGGAAAAATTGAAGGGAAAATGATTGACCCCCCTGAGTTTCATAAGGAATACCTCTTACCCCCCCCCCCCAAAAAAAAAAAAAAAAACTTTGAACAATAACCTCTTACCCCCTAAAATCTCTAAACAAAGTTAAATTAAATTTCCGTTTAAAAAAGCTGACCCAATATAAAAGCAATTAATGAAAGCCCAAAAATACACTTTGTCGCATCAACCTTTTGGAAACATATCAACTTGTACATTTAAAGCCTAAAAAATGCAAAGAATCAATGCATTAAAAAAAAAAAAAGAAGACTAGCATACCTAAAAAAAAGAAAACGAACTCTAGCTACACCAATAAAATTCCAAGTAGCAAGAATATTAAACATAATAATCATAGTAAAAAGTCAAATACCAAAAATATACCATGTTAATATCATCACACAAAAGTCAAATACCAAAATATACCATGTTAATGTCATTACAAAAAAATATTCTTCAGCCAATCCAACAATAATCTGAGCTGTCTATTACCATCCGGATACACAAAAGCAAAGAGTTGGCAAGTTGTTTTGATACAATTTAAAATACCAGCACAACCAAAATAAATGTCAACCTTAAGTCATACTTTGTTGAGTACCCACGTAGTGGTCTTTACCTCTTCCTCTAGATGTTGTCCGTGGCAGTGCCACATGACAACCAGAGGGAGCCATGGCCCCCAAGAATTTTGAAAGTTATTTACATATATATAGTGTTATGTGAATTTTTTTAGATATATCTTTCAAAACAAATAAATGGTACCCTAAAATATAATCATTTTCAATTAATTTTCATTTATAACTTTTTAACGCATTGAATCTTAAAAAAATGAAAGTATCAGAAATTTTTTAAGTTTTTAACATTTAAACTTTATCTTATGTAAAAATGAAAAATCTATATGAATAATGGGAAGGAATCAACTTACCTTAGTGTAAAACTAAAAAGTTTTTTTAATCATTGATTTTAGTAGATCCAAGAGATGAAAGAAAAAAAATGAAAAAGAGAAAAAAACAGTTTAATCTCATCACTTGGATCTATTAAAATCAATATAAAAAATGTATAACACTTTTTGGTGTAAGCTGATCCATCCCCATGAATAATAACTTTTAAATTTAATATTTTTGTAAGCTATGAGACTTTTTTATATAAAATGATTTACTTATTTTTTATAGTATCAATAAATAAGCTAAACACCTTTGATTTGGGATGGAGTAATTCAAGTTTTGCTCGGTGAAGAATTATGCATTAATCACTAAATTTAATACTCAAGTGTAAATAAGCTAAACACTTTAATAGAAAAAGATAAAATAGCAAAACATATAAATTCTTAAGTAAAATTCGTGAAGTTCACGACTAAAAATGAGTTACATGAATATTATGAATGAAAACCAAAACTAATAATCATACTATAATTTAAGAGTTTCGATTAGATTATTTACTAGAAAATTTTGAAAACTTTAAAGTTACAATGTATTGATCTATTTATTAAGTTCGATTAATCTATCCATGTTAATCTTTAAATTTTTTTTATATTATTTTTATTAGAAACACCCAATATTTCATGAAAAGCTATATCTAATTAGTTTGTCTTATAAAAAAATACTTAGCGTTAATTGAAATGTTGACTTCACTAGTTATTTTTAATTGATTAAAAAAAAAGTAATAACAAAGACAAATAACATAAATTGATAAAAATAGACTTCTAACTAAAATATTTGCTTTCATTATATTTTTTTTAAATTTTATGTATAATATATATCCATAATATAATATGTGTAAGTAAATAGTTATATACTCACATATGTATTTGGCCCCCTTAATAGAAATTATGGCTCCACCGCTGGCTGCAGTGACATTGGGCAAAGCTTGCTCAGAAAACTACTAATTGCTGTTGTCACCACTCCATTAAAGCTTTCATCATGTCTTTACCTCTTCCTCTAGTCCAAGCCCTTCAGACAAATGAAGACAGAATAGTGCCTGGCCCAACGGAAAAAATATCACATCAAGACAAACATCAGTTCATAGAAACTTCAATTTTTCTGGCAACTGGTGACATCTGAAGACCACCAAAAACATTATTTCTAATGGAAAAATCACCAATCAATTGGACAGAATATGTTCAGCTAAATAACAACTTGTTCTTCAAATTACAATGACCAAATAAGTGAGCTATGGGAAATATACATGGAAATAGACTAGACGAGTCTATATCAATCCACTAAATGTTCGGAATAGCAAAATTTATTCTCCAAGTATAAGAAAAGAAGACATATATCCAATGTTCCCTTGTAGATCACATTAAACCCACGGAAGCACCTTCATGCACAGAACATGAACAAAATAATTATTACAATAACCTAACTGCATAACAGGTAAACCCATGGATACTAATGATTTAAGTTTCAACTATTTAACTTGTCAAAGATGTTCTATGGTTACTTATAACGCATACATAGATTTAATGCAATAAAAATCAATGTGACCTTGCAGGGAAAAACATTCAGGCGTAGATTTAGGTATTGCTAATACATTCTTTGTACAACTTAATCGAAAGCCACAGGCAACTTGCCCTAATAGAACAAGTTTGCACTCTCACATATCAGATGCAATCAATTTTGCATAAGTGACAGCAACCAATACCAAGTACATATAAGTGTCCACTGAGTTGGACAGCAGATACGATTTGGCATGATATGAGTCGTGCTTAGCATGGCTTGCTATTAAATAGTTAGGTTGGGCCAAGCACGATACATATATGTATGCTGTGCTGGGCTAGAAGTTTTTAAGTGCATGGGTTGGCACAGCATGGTCCGTTAACGGCCAGTGCCAACACGTGGCACATGGGCTAGCAAGGCACGATACACAAGCCCAAATGTGCTATGCCATGCTAGCCCATAACCGTTATAAATGGGCTTCTGACCTTTGAAACCATTTATGTTATTTTTTATATTCTAATGAAATTATATTTACTTTTTGGTAATTTATAAAATAAAATTATATTAAATAAATTTACTTACTAGATATTTAAATTATTGATAGATAAATTATATTTAACTAGTTTGCGAATTATTCAATGTACAAATTATTTTTATTTAAATTTGTGTGCACAAAAATAAATTAACATTCTTTTCAAAGTTATATGATCAAAATCTTTAAATTTATAACATATATATAAAAAAGATTTTAGTTTTAAAACAAAAGAAGGGACCAGTCATCTGAAAAGGTATAAGGAAAAACATGACGCTAGATCAGTATCTCCTAATGATCCCACACAAACTACACTTAGTCAGCATCCTAATGGGTCTTTAGATGCATTTTATTTTTCACAAGATAATTGGCATAATCAATTAATTAAATTTATAATGCGGTTTGAGCAGTCATTTGCTTTTATAGATGATGAACGTATTAATGATTTAATTAAAAATGGTATACTACCCAATTATAAAATAGTTTCAAGAAATACTATTAGATCAGATGTTTTTAAAATATTTTTTCTTATAAAGAAAATTTAATATCTAGTTTACCAAAAATTTCCTCTAGAATTTCACTTACTTCTGATATTGAACCAGTCAACAAAACCTTACTTATATGTGTATTAATGTGCAATTGGATAGATGATGTGTATGTGTTTTTTTTTAATATTAGGATCGTAATTTCAATATCTTTATTTAGTGTATTCTATTATGCATTTCTATGGATGTAGATATTTTGCTAAAACAAATAAATTATATGCCATTTTTATTTCATTATGTGTTTATATCTCCTGCATGGTATTTTTAATGATAATAGATGAAAAAAAAATTTTAAGTAATTAAAATTTTGAAAAGTATTAATGGGCTATGCTTGGCCCAGCTAGGCACGAAAAATAATGTTGTGCCTGGCATGGCACGACCTTAAAGATTATGGGCTAGGTGCCATGCTAGATCATACCTTTAACCTTCATGGATCGTGCCAATACAGTACGTTAAAAAAAGAGTGCTGGACCGGCACGATCCATTAATATTGGGTTAATATTTAAATGGGTTATACAGCCCAGTACGACCCATTTGACACCTACACTATAGATGGCATCTCACAAACAACTTTCTCTGTTTCAAAAGAATGCAGTGACAGCAATCAATACCAAGTAAACAAGCTAATGTCCACTACAGATGACATTTTCTATGCATTTTTCTTGTTCTTCTTCAGCTTAGAGTAATGAACTACAATTTCCTCAAAACTATTTTATATATTTATAAACACCTACTAAACAGAAAAGTCCCAACAATATATAAACTAAAATGGAAAAGGCAACAGAATAAAATTCCCTATGATATAATAATCAAAATTTCCGTAAAGTCCCAGAACGAAGGGTTCAACAGAGGCAAAATAGAACTAAAAGAATTAACATATTGTTATATTCTCGCCGTGTCAAAGCAACCAAACAGGAATCTGACGTTCGTTACGAACTGGGTATTCAAGAATATCATGAAAATTAACAAATTCACAGGGAAAAAAAAGAAAAAAAAACAAACTAGGCATGCCTCATTTTAAATGCCGGAAAAAAGGGAAAATCTAGCAAGATATATCTATAAAAAGAAAGAGTAAAGAAAAATTCCGAATAAAAGACAAAATATACATAAAGAGATTAAGATTTAGATAATTAAAAATAGCGATGGCAATAAAAACCTTAGCTCCAAAGACGAAACAACTCGGAACAAAGAAGTGGAAAGAAATGCGAAAGGAGAAGTGAGATTGTCACTTACTCTCCTCTTTTCCCTATAAGATTTGGTGCTTCCTTCAAGGTTCGAGAGCTGGTAAATAAAAATGAAACCAAAAGAGTATTTTGGGTAAAGTTGTCATTTCATCCTTTATTATTCTTTTTATAATCCAACGATTTAATAGACGGCATTATTTTATTTTTTTTTTTTTTAACAATCGGAATTACTTTAATAAAAGGTAAAAAGGTTATTCACCTAAAAATGAAACAAAGGAAGTTAGAATTGGTCTTAGGGTTTTTCTAAAATTATTTATATTTCATATATAATATATTTCAAAAATTAATTATATTTATAATATTGATTTTATTACTAATATTATTAACCAATAACTAATTGAATTAGTCGAAAACTTAATATTTTAAAATTTTTATCACAATTAAATTTATCAAATTAAATCAATTTTAATAAATTAATTCGATTACGATCGATTTTTCTCACCACTAAGCTTGATATTCTTCCTTAGCTTAAGCCGTAAGCTTATAACTGAATTGATTCTAAAAATATCACCGGATAACATACTCATTAATTTTGAAATATTTATTATCAAACTTATTATCTATTTACTCATTAAGTTTGAAATATATATTACCGAACTCATTAAATATCTATTTATTAAGTCAAAATTTAATTTTTGAACTCAAATTTAAAATTTACTTTAATACATATTATTAAAAAATTAAATTAATGTATTAAAATTAATTTATAAAAATAAATTAAAATTAAAATTCATAATTAGAGCACTTAATAAATTAATTTAATTAAATAATATATTAATAATAAATCATTTATAAATAAAAAATTTATAACATTAAAAATTATATTAATAATCCATTATAAATAATAATTTTACTTTCCAAATTTTATCCAAATTCAATTATAAAATACTTTTATTTTATTTATTCGGATCATATAATACAAGACAAACTTCTATGTGATACCCACTGACATACTGGAATCAACCCAAACCAACCTATTATACAACATAATGACCTCGACAGTCGACCTTGAATCAGTCAATTACTCTGCCCAAAACCCGCAGGCTAAAGCCTTGGACACTTCATCGGGGAGGATGTACTATGTCTTTTCTTTTTAATAAAATAAAAAAATAGCATATAAATGGATTTTTTTAAAACTTTATGCTCCTGATTATTATTATTATTATTTTTGGAATGAAGTAATATTTGTATAGGTGGTTTCTCTGGCTAGGTAGGGTGATTAAAAATCAATTTAAATTTATTTAATTGATTAAAATCGATGAAATATAATCAATTGGTTTGGTTTATTTAATTTTTTTATCGATTAAATTAATTAAATTGATCGATTTTTTATTTTTAAAATTGATAATTGAATCGATTTTTTAATAAGTAAGTGTAAAAAAATTGAGATAAATATTTTTATTTGTCTTTTTCTTATAAAATATTGTTGAAATTTTTAAATTTTTTAATGATTTAATTTAAATGATATTTGAGTTTAAATTTTATTGTATTAAATTTATAATTAATAATTATTTGTAATAAGAGGAAAAAATGATGAAAAGTTCAATTATTTAACTGAATCAATTTGATTTTAGTTAATGTGATTATGGTCAGTTATTTAAAAAAATTTTACCAATTCAGTTACTTATTAAATGAAAGTCAATTATTTCGATTATTAATTTGTTTAAATTGAATCAACTGAATTGGTTAATTGACCACTCTTGATAAAATTATAAAAATAAAAAAAATAACGAACTTCAATTAAAAAAAACAAAAACATGTCAAATTATTAGTAGGCTTTAATTACATTTGTTTTATCACCTTTTTATGAAAAGCAAGGGAATCCCAATATTCATGGTAGAGCAAGAGAAAGAAAGAGAATATGTATATTGTTATCATATCATGTCATCCCGAGACAAGCCAAAGCCAAGGTAGACCTTGATAGCTGTTTTTATATATGTGAAACAGGTAAAACCCAAGAAACAAAGGACAAGGGTGTGGGCAACAAAAACGATCTTAACTCCAATGGGTGGTTCATGAAAGATAATCACATCCATTTGGCCATCTAATCAATAGCAAAATTCTTTTCTATATATAGGAACATGTTGGATTTTAGTCCATTTGCAGATGGCTTCAACAAGCTAATAAGAGTGATGATGATGATCACGAATGAACCCCTTTCTTTATAATGCAATTTCTAAGAAAACAAGAAAAATTTGTAACTCAATTACCATGCTTATCCCTTAAAATTCCTTCGGCGGCCATTAATGTTGATTTTAAACCAACCTAAAACTAGTTGAGTCCTTGAAATTAAGAAGGATTTCTTGTCTTCTTATAACAATTAGACAATTGGTCCAAGAGTCCTTCATAATCTTTTGAATGGCATCAATTTTACAAGGAAATGGGATATAAAGTGGTATTATATGTCTAAGATTTTTCTATTTCTCCACTTCTAAAGCAACCAAATTAACAACATTAGCAAACTAATTGCCCAACTTCAGTTTAATCCATTAATTTTTTTACATTGAGTGTCTGAACCAATATTATTCTTCAAAGTAATTAGAGGAGAAAAACTCATTTGGAAATTAAATTGAAAAGTAAGAGTTCTATCCAACTGGAAGGAATAATATTATTCATGAATCAATATACTCAGTTGGGAGCCATTGATACTATAAATTTTTCAACATTCCATATGTTTTCTTCTTCACTAGTTAAATTTTTGAGACATTCGTGAATAACATTTTCATCAAAAGGTTATCAAGTTACCATTACCCATTATTTACTCTCAACTCAAGACTTGATTCACACATGCTACAAGAAGCATTAATGCTTATTTATTTTTTATTTTAATATTTTACAATATATTTCAAATTAAAGTAAATAAAATTATGATTTAATTGAATTCAGTTTAACCAATTTTAAATTGTCAAACTATTTGTTCAAAACCTAATTTGTGTTGAGAATAGCGACTCAAATCCTATAAGAGATTTGTTTATGATTGGTTAGATATTACTTGATAAATAAAAAGAGTTGCAAAAGAAGAATTCTAAGAGAAAGGAAATTCTTGATAGGCAAGTTTATATACTTATAAATAGGTGAAGTCTCTATAGGGTTAGGTATGAGAAAAAGATATAAAAGAGTTGTAAGATTTTATAAATAAATATCCTATAGAACTATTGAAGATTTATGTCTTATGGGTGTGTATGTTTGAATGTTTG